ATAGCAGCCATTGTCTTTTATAGTATCGTCAAACTTGAAAAATTCCATCTTAATGTTTAAAATAATGAAAGAGAGACAGAAAGAGAGATAACAATCTTTTTTCGAAATTTATCCAGCGATTGCTTTGTTCTGCTGACACGACCTCGTTCGAGGGCTTTTATAATATTTAACTAAATTATAATTGTGCACGGGTCGCTCCACTATCATCGGCACCACCATTACCATCCCCGGACACGCGGTATAGCTACTTGGGCTGGAAAGGGTGGAAGCGAGGTTCAAAGGAGTTATTTTAGGAGCAGGAAGGTGGCCGTCCGATGGAATGTCCTCTCTCCTGACGATTCGTTTTCATTCCTCGCGTTGATATTTCCGTCGTTGTTTTGTGAATGTTACTAGTTTGATAAAACAACATTTTATTCACACTTTATCAAGCTGTAATTTACAATTTAACAATTAGTTTCAGAGATTAAAAATGCAATTTGCGTGATAAACAAATTAGGCTTTAGTGTGATTTATGAAAATGTGATAAAATATTAACACTATTTTAATGAGATGTCACTTAACAAATCTTTCTTTCTAAAATGTAATAAAAAATAAATTATACAAATATTATTTCTGTGTGAATAATTGAGTTTCTTTACTACACGCAGAGATGAACAATATACAGCGATAAAATGCTGAAGAATCGAATTGTGCTGAATTTCTCGGGAATATATTTATGTAGATCGTAAAATTTGGAAAGAAACAGATCGGAAAACGAGCGAAATACGCTTAAGCGAATCTTGTTGTTTTATGTTTATATATTTTACGAAGCTCGTAAGAATTCTCAGTGCTCAAGCGCGGTTAGTCATGATGCTTCACGTCTCATGATTCACTATGGTGTCATAAACGATTTCCCATAAACTTGTGCCTATGACATAGCTTGGAGATAGTGAATGTAAATGTATACATGCACGTATCATATATTATTGTATACGTGATCGCGCCGTTCTCGCAAATCTATTTACTTTTTCTGTGTTTTAACAATTATAGAGAATCTTTGTTGTGTGTGCCCACATTTCTCTATTTTTATAATAGCTTCTACTTTTTTATTATTGCTAATTATATAGATATCGAAATCGATAGATAGATAGAGAGAAAGAAAGAGAGAGTAGACAAAAAATAATAGAACAATAGAACAAAAGAACAATATATAATAAAAAAGTAATAATATATAAAAATAAAACTTGTAAATATATATAATGTAATTAAGAATAGCGAGGATACACAACGAGGATACACAACGTGTAAAAAATAACATAAAAGAGAAAAGGGAAAGTATAAAAGCTGAGTAAAAAAATGCGATAGCTAATAGCAACTTAAATTATAAACTCTTGTCATACCCTCGACATTTAATAAGTATGATTATTTTAAACTGTTTTTAATTGTGTCGAGATGATATTTGATTAAGTGATCTTAGTAAATTGACTTTCAGGTAGAATGTATTTTCAGCGTCATAGCAACTTAACTCTTGTCATACCCTCGACATTTAATAAGTATGATTATTTTAAACTGTTTTTAATTGTGTCGAGATGATATTTGATTATTTGATTAAAGTAAATTGACTTTCAGGTAGAATGTATTTTCAGCGTCTATATA